GAGATCATTTCACATGTCCCACCCACATAAAAGTGGAGGGGATGCATCACAAGGCGACCACTTCTAAATGTGATATTTATTCAGAACCTATTCTGAGTATTTTGCCCCAAATTTATCCTAGCAATAAGATGACCAAATTAGAATTTATGTTACATACTGCACAGAATTTATTTTTTCTCTTTTAATTCAGACTACTTTTCGCATGGCTGTTCTTTGCAGGATATTATATTTATATGAACTTTGCTCCAATAGCACCAACTTCTATTATGGTCTACWGCAAMTAAAATCACAGAATGGTTGAGGTTGAAAGGGACCTCTAGAGATYATCTAGTCCTACCCCTCCTGCTCTTTCTATTTTTTGTCTTCCTCAACAGAAACAAATATGAATTACTCATATCTGTATTCTATATAATATTATCCTTGAAAAATATTGTCCATATTTCTCAAATGTTTTTAAATGGCCTTGCACACAATTTCTTCCTATGGAGCTTGCAGAAGGYTAGAGAGAATCTTTCACAATATTCAATGGGTTGTTCTTTTCTGTTCTTGCCAAATGATAACTGAGCATTTCTTGAATGCAAGGTTATGAGTTAACCAAAAAATAACTAATTTTGCTACTTTTTTTTTTAATTTAAATCTATTTTAAAACACATCTGCCCCCTGAAAACTGACTCGCAAAATGGCACCTTTTCATAACAGATCAGTTCCCGGTGTGAAATTGATCTCTTGCCTATTAAATTTAGTCAAAAATACTATGATTCAGACTCTGACTTCTTGTGGCTCCATTTCCATGAATCCTTTTCCCACTGAGCTCCCCTGCACGATGGCTCCACGTTCTCCTCCCCTGCCGCTGCTGACGTCAATGGGATGTAACCAGAAAGGAGATCCGAGCTGGAGAACCCTGCCCTGGACTTGGCCTTCCCTCCAGCCTGCGTTAGTCCGGCCTCAGATGGGCCACGTGCCGCGCTCTGCGTTCTGTACGCTAGAAATGTAAATGTGCATTAGACATGAAGAGTCCTGAAGGGCAACAAGAACAATAAAATTTGAAAAAATATTGTGCCCAAAGGAGAATGTTTAAAGAAAAGCAATAAAAGGTTGTGCTAACAGCCTTCCAATATCTAAGACTTATAACAAGGACGGCTTACCAATAACAACATAGAAAGAGACATAAGTTGTAAGAATCAGTATGTGGATCCAAAGCCCTTTCAGACTTCTTCCTGATGYAGCGGCTGCAAAATAACACAGCCCTCTGTATAAAGGGAAACACACCAACTTACTTGTCCTGATTGTAGAAATGGATCCTTTGCTGGCTAAAAACAAACATCTGACTGCATGTTCTTATCTGCAACAGGGTCACTGCTCTTTTCCTAATGGCTCACAGACACAAACATAGAAATCCCTCTTACCCAACATCCTGTAAGCTGATGCATGCTCCAGAGAAACATTTAGCCAAGATCAACTCGGCAGAGACCTCACCCCTTTCCTTAAAATTCCATGAGAAAATATGCGGCTTCTTTGGACTCCTTGTTTTGKGAGCAGCTTGGGGTAGCTGCTGTCAACCCCTGCAACCATGTCCTGTGATGGAAAGCTCCTGCTCACACAGCAGCAGAAGCACCGCTGTTGTGCTTCCAGTGGCAAGAGGTACAGAAGCCATAAGGGTTCTAAGGGAAATATGTACACGTGCAATATGCATCCCTATGTTTACAATACGTTCATTACTGTGTAAGCATTGACACTGAATTATTTCCAAAACACGAACACCAAAAACATACGTTCTGAAAAAGATCCTAGTCAGGATTTTGCATCCGCTTTAACTAACAAATTCTTTAAAGGACAGGTCACGTCAGGACAGAACACATCAGCACAGAGCTCTCAAACAGCATTATTTGTGACCCTCTTCTCTGTTGTCCCTTGTGCACTCTTCCTATTCCAAAGCAAGACAGCACGTTTGTCAACAGGTCCAAACGGAAGCTACATGTAAGGCTTTCCCTAGGCAGCAGGGAAATGGCCATGTCCACCCCAGATGTGCATTTCCCCACCTCAACGCACTCGCCCACAGCACTGCGTGGACAACAGGTAGAGCCCTGCTATAAACCAGAACACTGAACGAGCTCCTGAACGAGCCCGGCGGTTCCCCTCCAGCTCCCGCTCTCCTCCCGAGCTGTAAAGGTGACTAAATGCACACTGAAAAACGCCCTATGGGGGAGAGATTCACGCGTGAGCTTCCCACAGCAACTAATGCCCCCGCGCTGTGCACGGAGAGCAGCTAATATCTGCACGGGAATCAAGGCAAACCTCATGTGCCACAAAGTCAGTTTTCCCTTTGAAAACATTAACATTGATACTCCCTTCTTAAAACAGGAAAATGTGACATTGCATTAAGTCTGACATTTAATTTCCTTTCTGAAGGAAAGGAATATAGTGAGTGGAGCACATAGAAAAATGTGACATAATATGTAAATGCGATAGAAATACCAGTATAGCATTATGCAAAGTGAGTGCCATTAGAGATGAATGATAATTCATTCAAAATAAAGAAAAAATGCTAGAAGGAAACCAAGAACCTACATACATGATTTTCATATACCAGATATCCTATGTTGGAAAGAAAAATAAAAGCGCTACTGATATTGAACTAAAATGAAAGGACAAATATTTTAATTTGGGTTTAATTAACACCGTGACGACAGCCAGCGTCACAGGCCACCGCTGTTTATAGCTCATGCACTAGATTAACACCATCTTTTACTTTTTTTTGCTCTCACTAGTTAGCTATACTGGACTTTTTCCCCTCCTTCTTGCCCCAACACACRAGGGCTCAACAATGGGAAACAAAAGGAAGGATCCTTGCCTAGAACTTCACAAGGCACTTGAAGGAAACAATCTCTGCCTCATCATGTCTATATCGAGGAAGACATTAATGTCATACTCGAGGAAGGTATTGTTGCTCAACAGGTAAATAACCTGTTGAGGTTATTTACCTCACCAGCTTGTGCCCTTGGCTACACTGTGGCTATCATTTTTATAAATACACAGGGTAGCTACATTAGTGCCAAAAYATGTTAGGAGTTTTGCATTACCTAAATGTGAAAGGCTCAAAAGGGTTTGCGCCCTTTTGAAACATGATAACATACATAAAATTTAATTCAATAGAGCTGCTTACTATGAATAATCTGAAGAGATGGAATGATGTGCTTGAAATATCATAAAGAATACCGAGTAAAAGACACCTACAAGCTGCGGCTCCAATTAATCACTGCAGCCCAAATATTTAAAAGTTACAGAGACTGTACTATTGCATCTTAGGTATTCATGGTTTTGTATTCCTACAAGGGTTCCTATTCATAAGGACATTTCATGATCCCTTCCAGATATACTTAGTCCTGCTATACAGATAGGAAATTGAAAGCTTGAGTAAGTCTTAAGACTTCACAATRTGTTTATGGACAGAAGACAGTTCAGGTCTGACAGTCTATGCTGACCCTTGCTATTAAACTTCCAGAATAGGACTTGTATCAGTTCATTTGGTCCTACTCACTGTTCAGCTCCACCTTAATATAAATTGTACATATTTAGTGTAAGGAGGATGAAGGTGACAATGGAAGATTAGCTTTACATTTATTATAAGTATATTCAGTATCAACATTAAACCACAATTATTACTGCAAGAAATGAAAATCCACTTAAAAGCTCAACTGTCTTTCTAGTACCCATGAAGTTACAAACCTGTAATATCACTCATGAAGTTACATTATTTATATTTGCTAACCCTAACATCACTAGATATATCTTCAAACAGACAGGTAATATGGAGCTATGAAAATGAAAATCTGCACCAGATTTAGGAGTTTAATACTTGGAGCTTTCTAGCCTTTAGTGAGTCTCTATGAGGAAGAAATAGGAGACTGATTTTTCTTCCCCATGAGCATAAAAGAGAGTCACCATTGTCCAAATGCAACCTSCTAGATAGAAGCTGCAGCCAAAACATACTAGATTGCTCCCTACCCAGAAGGAATCTCTGACACCTTTGGATTTTGCAAGAGGCCTTCTTCAGTGAAGCTGAGATTTGGCAGCAGCTAGATTGGCAAAAGCACAACACAATTTCATTCAGGTTCTTCACTATTCACACCTGTCATCTGACCAGTAGTAAAAAGTACCTTAAGAAGTAGGTAACGCAGGAAATACAGAACCCTACAGAACTAGAAGGCAATGTGGCATGACCTAGAACACAGCAGTTCAGCAGGAGGGTGCTTTTTTCTTCTTTGAATAGGTACCATGAAATCTAATTCCAAGGTCTTCAATCAAACACTGCTAGGACAACAATCCCTGATTCAGCAGCCAATCAAATGTGATTAACTTCAGGCTAGTGCTTAATAAAAGTGATTAACTTCAGGATGCAATASAAGTTATCAGTGCCATGCATAGTAACAAGTTGTCCTCAGCAAAAGCAGCAAAATGACTGCTAATAATCTAGTGTTGAGCAATAGCAGAAACAAGGGCATAAGATCAAGCAATTAAACTGAATTATAAGAGATCAGAACCATCTAAAAATTCTTGAACAGTCGGCTACTAATAATTATTTTTAAAATTAGCAGGAAAAAAATATCAAATAAAACACTGACAGTGGAGGACATGGTTCACATTTCAAGATAAATCTGCTTTGTCAGCAACTAGTACGCTGCACTGAAATTTCAGGGAAGAAGTGGTATAGAAGTGTCTACTACACAATTTTTTGTAGAGTAGACCATCTATTCTATCTTATTAAATAATGATTGTTCATRAGGGTCATTCAAGTCAAATGACACTTTTTATTTACCTCAATAGCCCCTGACTGCGGTCCAGAATTTAAACAGTATGACTACCTGCTTTGTAGGCATAGGGTCTGAAAAAAATTGCAGTTTGCAGATGAGATTTCCCGTGCCTGAGTCAAAACACACCAGCAAACTAAAGGTTACTCAGCGTTACATCCCTCTTGCTGTAGGAAGCATCCTCAGTCTTACCTGTACATTTTCTTCTGTAACTTGAATTTCAGCAGTGTAAATATAATCAATAAGCATCCTCAGTGTCCAGCCATCAACTTCCTTTATTCGAACTCTCTTCGCTCGGCTTTCACTCATCTCACCTAAAAATACAGCGTAAAGTCAAGTAAGTCAGGTAAAAATAGAGCACAATTTAGAAAGAATCTAATAGTAACTACTCTCGCCTGCAGCAGATTTTTTGGGTGCATGATCACTTGTAATAATAAAAGCACTGTAAGAACTCTATTTCCTTCTATCCTTCCTCCCTGTAGGAGTTAGCATCATCTGAATGTTACACTAATGTATATTGCTAACACTATTAATGCAGGTGACCTATTTTCTCCAGTGTGTAATATCTGTAAATATGTTTATTAGATCTAAGTAACACCCTCCAAATCCAAACATACATTGCAAACCACTGAAGTACTTCTTGCATTAACTCCTTAATGGAAGGAACATATCAAGTGGAGGCTGTAGAGATTTTACAAAACAAAGAAACAAACAGAAAAATCTACCTCGATCAAAAATCTACCCTCTTGCCGACTTACTAGTCCCTTTGCATGTGCATTGCTGTTACAGTTCCAGTTACCGAAAAAATGGTAAGCAAGGGAAAACTTGACGGATCTTAACTTGGTGGAGGCTGCAATACTGGCCATATTCCAGAATTAATCTTCACAGAAAGGCCTGCAAAATAGCTTCTGTCTTCTAAAACATGTTCATTCTCAAAATGCAACATTTTGTTTATATCTGAAATAACTGCCTAAAACTATACTAAGTAATGACCACAACCTTCTCCATGTCTACTAAGGAAACATCTGGTCATCTCAGATATTTAATGCTTTTTTCCATTGATTATACATTGGGAAGTGAAATACAAACTACCCTGGTCACATTGGTAGATATATAACCTTTGGCTTAGGAGTAGATCAATATTGATGCATAACATTGTTATGTTTATATACTGGATACATGGGCTATCTCCTGGCCTCCTGTATACTGGATACATGGCACCTTGAGTAAACGGCATTGATGCGGTAGCAAATTCAGACCACACCAGACTAAAAGCAGCCAGGCTGGAGAGTGACCAGTAAGATGGCTATCACTGCTGGTATTCTGAGAATTTCATACACAGTTTCATTGTTCACAATCGTAACTGTAGGCTCTAGGACTGACAATCAAACACATTTTCCTTAGTGCATGCAGCTAATGAGAAATTCACTATTGTTATTCACACCCTTCTCAAACTGAATGCTCAATGGCATTTTAAAAACCAGCCTTTTAAGTGGAAAGGAGTGCAGGAGACCCTCTACAGCAACACACAACTACTTACTGCTTGCTGGCTTTCTGGAAAGCGCTGAGGGGCCGCATGTAAACACTACAGCCCAGCCCCTGCAGAGCTTTCTCTTCTCACCTGCTCCAGGGAAACATCTCCCTGCACCTCTGAAAGATGGCTGCAGCGTATGCTTTGAAGGGCCATCTATTTCAAGCCTCTCCTTCCAGCTTGACAGATTAAACCTATTGATCTTCAGCGCCTGCAAGCTGCAAGTTATTTATTATGCAAGCTTCTGTGGAGGTGGTCCTTGGGGAAAACGCGTGTGTGGGAGAGCCGAGTTTGATATTCTGCAGGCACATTCGTTTTGTTCTCAGATTTTGTGTCAAGGCTTCTGGAGCCGTGGATAGGCACCTTCTCTGTTGAACCACAAAGTCCTGGGTTTACAAAAGAGCAGATCTGCTTCTCCTTTTAATGCTAAAAGGGCACRCAGTCTTATTACAATTCCAGGCCAGTCCACCTGTGATCCAAAGCTGGTTTGGAAGATCATACGTTGAAAACCAGAGGTTCATTTCCTAGCCATCCTCCGTCTAGAGCACGAAGAACTTGCTTCACAATTGGAAAGCTGCAACAAAACGTTCCCACAGAGTTTGTGGTGGCAAAGGAAGGAAAGCACTGAGCTGGTCCAACACCTCAAGCAGAAGTGGCAGGGCACTCCGTCCGTCTGAAGTTACTAAAAGGTGACCTGACCTACTAATGTGGTTCCTCACACCAGGGATGTAGCAAAGTACACCACTCAGCTTTGTTTTATTTTATATAATTTAACAGGAGGAAGAATTTTACAGAAGTGAAGAAATGAGTAACGGCTGTGACACACAAAACTAAACTCAGGTCACTCATGTCCCAAGTCAGGTTGTGTGGCCCCTCAAGTTCCCCTTCACTAAGGTTTTGTCTTCCTTTCTCCAGTCTTTTAAGTGCATTCACAACATTTCTGAAGAACTGCACTGCACACAGAATGAAGAATTATTCCTTCTGATATATGCAGCCCTACATTCTTATCCTTTTTTCCCCCTCTCTTGTTTCTTAAAACATAATCATTATTAACTTGCTAAACTAAGTACCTAGAAAGAAAAACGCACAGTGTGGCTACTCCTACCATTATAATGAGTGGAAAAAGACAAACCCTTAGGCGAAGGGTTKGATCACAGCCAATGCCATTCCCTGTCCTGCACAGGAGGCAGCACCTAATGACTCAGAGAAAGATGGAAGGAACATGCGAATGTGTCTAAAAATAAGCTTCTAATTTCAAGTCAAGAACAAGTATTCCTGTAGCACAGAAGTGCAAGTTTTTTCGAATGTGTTTTCAGTCGTCGTTTAATTTTAGACGGGAAAAGACACTTTCCTTTTGGCTATAGCTKGTTAATGGAACAAATTTGCCGATTTGAACTTTGGAATCAGCTCTGTGAAGAACTGCTGAATACACCAAAACCAGAGGTGGTCCTTGCCAAAAACTATATATAATGATAGTCTAAAACCTGTTGATAAATCTCAAAGCCAGCCTGGCAGTCTACTGAAACCCCCAAGGACTTGGTTCTCTGCAACCACACAAACATTCTCATAAATGGGTTGAAAGGTTCCCRGCCTTTCATCAGGTGAGCATTCCCATCCCTGCACCACAGGGTATTCCTSAAAACTCGCATTTTAAAGCATAAGATGAGCAAACTTTTCTAAGAGGCAGTGAAGTGAGAAAACAAGGATTTCAGCAATGTCATTTGGAGAGTGGCCACACACAGTTGCATTGGCACACCCAGAGGGCCAACAATTTCTGTGGGAAAGCCAGGAAGCAGGAATGCTGTAACCAGCATTCCCTGTCACAGGGTGTGTAACATAGAATTAAACTCYGAGAAAGACCATGTCCAAAGTGAAAGTCAACAATACTGCTTAAAAGGCTTGTGCTTCTCTATTAATAAGGCAAAAGATAGACACTGGCAACAGGTGTTTTTGCTTTAACTCAACACAAAGCAGTAAAAACCAAGAGAGAGCTTCACTTTCTCAGTGTTTGTCTCCAGCACGGGTGTAAACACCAAGACCTGCTAAAGAGATGGCTGCTCAAGGGAGCTCATGCAGTTCTACACACACAACATAAAGCATTTGTTTCTGCTAACATTGACTCGTTGTTTAGCTCTGTGTCAAAATATCCATATTATATATGATATGTATTAAGCAAATTAAGAACATGCTAGCTTATCTATCTACTCAGTTACAATGTAGTGATTGCTAACAATAAGCTTCTTCCCCAGGATACTAGAGTATTTCAAACTGTATCAACYTTGCAAACAAGTTGCAAACAAGCACTTTTGTTAATAAAACTCCATTTTGCTTGCCCACTGGCACGGCCAGAGTCACACTTGTGATGGAAGCCGAGCTAGTGGCCACAAGCAACATGCTGAGGGGGATTCTTTCTGCTTCAGACAGTTACACCATTAAGGACCAAACTGGCACAAGATTTGAGAAGGAATAAATAACACTTCCAAGATTAATTATAACATGCATTGAGTAGTACAAGAAGATTGCAACGTGATTTATAGCCAGAGAATCAAACCCACGGCAGAGGAATCCAACTGGGAAGCGCTGTGAGCCCAGACCTGCTTTAGCCTTGCAAGCCCTCGGGCTTTCCCGCTGCAGCGGCAGGGCAGCAACTCGGGCAGTGCGGAGCGAGTGGCAGCAGCCCCAGGCCCACACGGACACGCTGTGGCAGGGCTGCCTCCTCCGCCTGCCACGGAGAAATACCCCAGGAAGGCTGAGGGGGCACCCAGCCACATGCTGCCAAAGCCCACAAAGCTTCCCCCACCTCTACAGGCAGCCCAAAAGAGTCAGGACCCGAGAATGTAGCAGCCAAAAGAATAGCGGTTACAGGATGTGATTTCCTTCAAAATTCGAATCAAAATTATTTTTGTACAAGTGAGATAATTGTAGCCATAAAGGGGTATAACAATTCTACTGTTCCTGGCTTAACGTGTACATTTGTCTATATAAAAGAGACTTTTTGAAAGCATGCATCATATTCGCTAAGATTGAGATGCCAGCATGTCCTTAAGCTGAGAACAAATTCATACCCCACCACACACACACACAAGCCCCCATTATCTTATTTACAGATTAAATAAAATCCTTAAAAGCATAATAAAATTAATTTCRAGCTTTACACAGTTGGACTGGGTTAGAAGAAAGTATGGAAAYATTTGGTACCTGTAAACATGGCATGGAAGTAGGGGCTGCAGGCGGCTAGCACAACTCTGTGCGCTGCAATTTCCATGTCTTCTGCTACTATCGTCACATCACACAGCAAGTTCTGACTATTCAGAAACACCAGAGAAAGTGGTTTTACATATGCAGACTACAGTAGAAAAACACACAGCATCACAGGATTTCTCTTCTTGTACCCTCAAAAGGAGGTGGGAGACAACGTTGATGAAGCAACATTTTAAATGTGTTACAAAACCACATGACTCTTACTCAGTAGGGTTACAGATGGTGCTTGGGTACATAGGGCTTCCTCAAAGCAAATAATTAAATTGTGCTTTGAATTGTGGTTTCTTGCATAGAGAGAAGGCTTTCTGCATTGAATAACACAAATTTCTATCAGTCTGATTTATAAACCTTTTCATTGGAAGTCTGAAACAAGACTTGCCAGATTGCAAAAAATCAGAGATCATACCTGAAGTCTGTGGTACAATACCAGAATCTCACGCCTACTTAAGTGTTTAAAATTATTACTAGATTATATTTAAGGTACATTTTTTTTTCCAAGTATGTTTCATACACAGTTCATACACACAACAGCAGAGTTTTTTTTACTCAAATTACTTTAGAATTTTTAGTTAACTCCACATTTCATCTCATTTTTATCTTCATTAGATTCATATTCACTTGCATGCCTGTCTTTTGTAACTGTAATATGTGATATTTCCTCCCTATTCTGTTGCAGTAAAGAAATCTCCTTTTTAACCATTCCTAACACAGACATTTCCAATGCACTTTACAGCTACTGGATATGCACCTTCCATCAAATCCATCACAACCGTTAGTCTTTATAATTGGACTTCTTTCTTCTTTCCCTCAAAAAAGAACCAAAAAAAAGGTTGCAGTTTCCAGGACCTGAACAGTCATCTTTTATTTCCTCTCCGTTCTGGACGTGTCTTTACAAAAGTAACATAAAACTGACAAAACTCAGAGCAAGAGCAACRAGGAGGAGGAGGAGGAGAGAAAAAGGGTGCTTTGATAGAGGAGCTAGAGCCCTAGGTCAAACCAGGGACCCCCCTTCTCACTAGCTGAGGGGCACACTGCTGGCCTTGCCTTAGCTGCCTCGCCTGGTTGTTTCTTCCACTTTTAGTTCCTAGTACTTACAGTAGATAGCTGAGGTTGCAACATGGTTATTATCAAAAAAATGTATAATTTGTGTAATGACCAGGCCCATGTGAAACACGGAATTTAGAGAAGCTTGAGAAAATCAGTCCTTAAATTTAAAGTTGACACAGAAAGCCACAAACAAGTGGTCATCAGCCACACACCCAGCTTTTCCAGAGATGTGTACACTTATCCTGACAACAGCAACATAAAATGTTTTCTATGTGCTTGCACAGAGATAGCAAAGCTAACAGCAAAGCCCCAAGCACTAAGACTACATGAATGCAAAACTCGAGCTCATTAACTACATTGCACAATACAGACACAGTTGCTTATTTGGGGGAGAGCCCAGAGGTTGCAGAGGCTCGAGCTGCCCTAGGTGAATATGGCCTGCGGGGCTGATAAGCTCAGGCTGAATCATATACTCTGGTGCAAGCATCTTGGGGCTTCTACAGCAATTTGGCACATTTATTTCATGTTGGCAAACTACTTGGCTTTGCAAAAGCTCACATTCTGCTGCAATTTTTAACAATTCACTTGTGTAGACTGGCTGAAGGCAAAGAGCCATAGCAGACCACCCCCTTGAGAGATGGGAGGCGAGCAAAAATAGTCATTTGTTTATCTGCAAATTTTTATCTATTGGAGTATAGGAAAAAAAGAAAAAAAAAGTAAAGTCTTATTTAGAAGAATAAGAATTTTAGCAAATACATGTGAGGTCAAATCCCACTGTGACAAAAGTTATAACGAAGAACAGAGAAAAGTACTCAAGTCCTGTTTCTTCATATCAAGTCATAAATTAATTAGATATGCTAATGGCTCTCTGCCTCAATGCTGAGGTGATGTTAAGGAAATGGCACAAATTACCAATAACAAAATTACTCACATTTGTTAAAATTCAAAGCAAAGAAAATTATGAGTTAATAAAACCAGGTAACTTGACAGCAGCCAAAAATTTAACATATACCCTTGGACTTAAGCACTCTGGAAAAATAATAGATTTTAGAGTGACCAGAAGAAGATTTCTTCATTATTTGTACACTTTCCAGAGAGTATAGCTGTGGCAAATACCTACTTGTACTGCATTAACAGAAGGAACTGAGATGGAAACCCCTTTAACAATACAGTCAGTAAAACCTGAAATTAAATTTAGGTCTTCATTTTCAGTAATGAAGTCTGAAATTGATTTAAAATATTTAAGTTTATTATTTCAAATTTAAATAAATGTAAATATTAACGTTTTAATCTTACCTAATTAACACTTTACATTTCAAGAGAAGCTGTGCTCAAATAAGATCAACGTTCAGCACTCAACATGGATGTGCCAGCTGCCCTAAGCAAGACCTTGCTTAAAGTTTACCTGGCATTGCTGGTGCTCAAACTTGGACTATTTATAAGTGTAAGAAAATTCCTCAAATCGCTTCTACAGTACTCTGAATTTAAGTAACCATGGAAACTAGAATATACTCTTAAAATAATCCACAGCCTTCAACAACGCACTCTRCTGGAAAATCCAGTCTGTTCTACTTGCTGTAGAAAAGAATCTAAGCAAGGTTCAGTACTTCTGAAACTGCCATAATCAAAGATACTAAGAGTTTGGATAAAGAAAACCATCTTTACAGTTTATAATAAAGAAGAGTCTTCTAAGGAAAGATGGTTCTCTTTATCTAAACTCTTCCTCACCCGTCATGGCTAGGAATGCTCTGCCATGCTCCTTGAGACAGTGAACCTGGTTACTGGGGTCCTTGAAAAGTAAAGCAAAAAGTCTTTTTCTTCTTCCAGCATCAGSTAACTAAGCTGTTACATACTGCGGGAAAAAAACAACTTTCTGCTTTTGCCTCATTATCCTCAGACTATGGGAATCCTTGAGCTAGTTTTAAAGCATTTTCAATCAGAGAACCTGATCTTCTCCAGTCTTCCAGTGCAACAGAAATTRTCGCAGCAAGATAAATACATTGAGYTGATCAGAGTACCTAACATGCTATTAAGGGTTTACCATAAAGATCAAGAGAAGATTAAAGAAGCGGAGATCTTTTAATATCAGTAGCTGTTGCTATTTATCAAATGAAGCCTCTCCAATTTTTAAACTCGTACGARAAATAACAACAGGCTACAGGACTTTTAGCACCCTCAGGTATTATCCATGCCGGAGATTTTTTTATTATTTAATTTCTCCATTGTTGCTCTTAGCTATGAAGCTGAAGTGCTGTCAGTGATAGTTGTGAGCCCTAATTACCAGAGCTCAGTTGTGAGCTCTAATTACCAGCTGTCACAGCTTTCAGCACCATCTCACCTACCCATCTGTACAAAATAAATCAATATGGGTGCTAAGAACAGCACCAGTCTCCCCGTTCTGCGGAAACTGATGATGGTTTCACTCAAGGTCTTACAAAACTTTAGCTCAAAAGGTGATTTTCAGCATATGATTTGTAATCCTTTGGGAGTTAATTAATTTCTCCTGGGGGACATGCAAAAGACAGGTAAGAAAAGAAACCCTACTGTGGGTTGCTTTACATTTGTTAGAGTGCGAACTCTGTCACCAGATCGGAAAATGTTAACATTTTGTCAGTCTGCTGCGAAAAATCAATGACAGACATATTAAGAGTCTCAGGCTCAATTAAGAGGTAGCTTTTAATCTATCCAGGATCAGCTCTATGCAACATAGGATCAAAAGCTGTAATTCCTTAACAACACCCACCAAGAGTTGCTCAAGTCCCATAGAGCCAGCTCTGACTAACTTTTGAGGGGCAAACATATAGCGTGCCCATTACACTACATGGCTATCACTCAGATAACATTGTATACTTCACTTTATCAGCTCTAACTCTGTATTTGCATATTCCATTTTTTTATAGCTTAATACATGCAATTGAAACTTATTACGGACTGTGGGAAGATGCGTGCAATACCTTCTTAGTTCATTCATCACTTTGAAAGCTTTCTTCATGTGCCATGGATTCACTGTAACAGGACAGTGCTTTTCAGTGTTATCATCTTTCAGATCCAATGGCTTCTGATGGCAAAGTTTGGTGCATCTGCAAAGAAAAGAGAATAAGGTTAGCACTTCCGTCTGCTCCCTGATCTGTGGCTCTGTTTTACCCCGTTATCCCAGGGCGGGGGGAAACGCAAAACACACGCACTTCAACTTATTCCTTACTTCAGGCAAACTCAGTTTCCATACTAACAGTGTATGGGGAGGCGGGGGAGAACGTTGGCAAATTCCCTAGTTAGCACCAAGTAGGTCCTCAATACTAACGAGGTCAGTAGAGGCATTTCAAGCCAACAATAAATTCCATAAACAGCAACATGGAGATGACATCTTAGAATGTCCCCAAGAAATTCTGAAATCCAGTAAAGCTGAAGTCCTTAGGCTTTTATCCTGKTGTCAGCACACATTCCCACGGAATATCCATTGCATGAGTCTCCAAGCGGCGGCTCGGCGCGAGGAAGAGGCAGTTCCCAGCCCTTCCAGCGGGACCTGGATCGCCCATTCCTGCCACCCGACCCCAGGACAACTGCAGCTGTCCCGTCCTTCCGCACGAAGCTCCAGGCAGCAGGACAACAGCTGGGGGGCCTCACTGACCCGCTCCACGTTTCCAAACGCGACAGACAAAACAACGACCAGTTCGGATTCGTCTTACTCTCCATGAAAATATTAATAAAAATTCAAGACAGGAGGAGGAGAACTCTGCAGTGTGGAGCTCATTCTAATGATCTCTTCACAAAAAGAAACAACAACAAAACACTTCAGCTCTGTAGAAGAGACAGTTGTGCATTTTCTAGGACTACCTAAATTCCAAGCCCTGCAAGTAAGTTTCTTGTCTGCAGCCATGGTGAAAGTAACATTACCGCTGTCCTCAGAAAACACTTGCTATCAGCGCTGTTTTCACCTATACTAGGTAACGGTATTCCCTAACTCCAAGGCAGAAACAGCCAAAACATCTGAGGCAGTGAGGTCCAGTCCCTCTCTCCCCTGCCCCACCTCACCTTTCTTCCGTAGGCATCTCTGAAGAAGCTTTAGAGAAAAACCCAGGGCTAATTAACACTTTAACCTGGGATTCTCCACCCTGTGCACTGCAACAAGCTGCCAACCCGTTGGCTTTATTTTCCACGAGCCCAAAGCTGGTAGCAACCTTTTGGGGTAACGCAGCAGGAATCGCCAAGCAAGCAAGAGACACATATTTAACAGTGGAACAGAGGTGTCTTGCCGTGCAGCRCGCCTCCCGCGGGCTCGCGGCGCCGGGGGCCGCGGCCGGGGCGGCGCCGGGACACGAGGCCACGGGCGCCCCGCGGGAGGCGCGAGGAGCCCGCGGGCCGCTCAGCGCCGCCCCGAGCCCCGCCGAGCGCGGCACCGACGACGGCCCCGGCGCCCGCTCCATGCGCCCGGGCCGGCCTCGCAGCCGCTTCCCCCGGCCAGGCGCCAAGGGGCCAAGCGGAGCCCCCGCAACGGCCAAGGAAAGCAGCGCCGGGGGCGGCAGCGCCGGGGGCGGCAGCGCCGGGCGGGCGCGATAGCCGCGATGCGCCCCAAATCACCACGGCGCCACCACCCCCAGAGCAGTAACCGCAATAACCGCCGCAACGAAGCCCAGCCGGGCGACACCCGAGCCAGGCGGCGGTGGCGGCGGGACGAGCGCGGCCGCCCCCGCAGCGCGGGACGCGGCTCCCGCGGCCGCCCCCGGTGCCCGGCCCGCGCGGCGCACTCACACGGGCGGCAGCAGCATCTCCATGGCGGCGGGGCGGGCGCGCGCGGGG